AAATAAGAGTGCGTCTTATATTCCGAAAAATACGGTATATTCAACAAGAGCTTCATCTTAAAGACTCATATGCTCGGTTAATAATATTATTAAAAAAAAGGAACATGTTCAGTGAATGAGCCCCAGTATTTTTAGTTTCACTATGGGTACATAGCTTACTCTGATTGAAAGTTATTATTATTATTTACTAATGTACTCTTCTGTTGACACTGTGGTCCATAACCTGCTCTAGGATCAGGACGATTAGTTTGTTGTTGATACAGTTCTTTTGTTTTATGAGTAATCCATTACAGAATATCAATACCTGCTCAGACATTGCCTAGTTAAACAAGGCTTGTGTAGTTTATTCTGGTATTGTGATGGCTGTGAAAAGTGAGTTAGCGGTCCCAGAATTGTTAATGTTAGTTTTGCTCTGTGTACATAGCTTACTCTGACTGGAATGAAGACATGCTGTATTATTCTGTGAGATTTTCTTTAGTAATTAATAATTTATACTAGAAATTATTAATTATTTTCCTATAATGTATAGTAATGATCACTATAAAAAGCTAATTATTTGTGTTTAAGCACAGTTGTAACTCAAATGACAAAACCAACTATTGTTAAACCTTGGTTGTGAGGTGCTACAGAAGAAATCATGAAAATAAGGGCTCTCTGTTTCCGTGAACAAACTACCAATAAATATGAAAAACAAAATATGATTTCCTTTCAGTGCATTTTAAAATACTCAATCCTAATAAATTCATTTCATTTAGAGATTATTATTTTCATAGTGATTTTTAAAAAAATTGAAAATTTGTGCAACACAATTTAAAAATATAAAACTAGTTCATTTTGCTTAATTTTTAGCTAACAAGATTAAGTTTTTGTATTCTCAACTTTCTTTATAATTTGAAGTGTAAAATATGATAAGTTTATTGTTTTTAGAAATGTTCTAGCAATTGTTTTATAATATGAGATTAAAGAGTAATGATATACGTGTATGTAATAAAGTACCTTCTGGCGAGTTGCTTACTGAGAGTATCATTTATTGCATCTGAAATGTATTGTGCAAGGTCACTTTGACACTGAAAATTAGATATAAAGCAAGCAATTGCTTTATTAGTGACTAAGAAAAATGCTATTTCATGCATTAAAATATTAAACTTGTTGCCTTAAACAGTTAATTGATAACAAATTGAAGGCACAAACTATGCACATCAGTAAAATAGTTAAATGATTCTATTAAAGTAATATTTATTATTAATTGTTTGTTATTTCCACTGGAATGTATATTGGAGTAATCTCAAACAATAAGTTTTGTTTGGTAAGAGTAATTAATTCAATATTATGATTGCATATATAGTATCTAAACATACAATTGTCTAAAAATCTGAACAGCTTTGATTGCAGAAAAGAAATAAAGTTGTACTTAACAGTGTTATTTTATTTACTCTTTTAGATCTTTTTTTAAAGTAAAGTACATTATATTTATAGGGCTTCAGTTACATCTAAAGCACGTGTAAGTTTGAATATATATATATACACACACACACATGTACAGAACATCTTGAAATAGCAGGTTTTTGTTTAATTTTAAATAGCTAAAATAAAAAAACTTACCGTTGAATTCCACAGTTTAAAAAGAGTAGATTTACACTGCAATTTTAATTATTTATTTAATAAGTAACAAAATACACTTAATAATAATAATAATACCAGTAAATTGACCTTTTGCACCATGCAAATGTCTAATTGAAACAATACAAATAAGATTACCTGGTAATCTGAGCCATTACATGGAAATCTGTGACAACGCGAGATAAAATCTAATCCTAATAAGATACTTAAAACCTATATGCTTGAGTTTACAAATGAAATGAAAATCCTGTCAACAATCAAATGGTAAAAAACAAGAACGACATTACATATTTATATATATAAATTGGTTTTAAAACATAAGTACATGAGCGACAAATATGTACCTTTCAACATCATGTCTCACAATAATTATTACATTGTAACTTTTAGTTTCAGATATTATTATTATAAAAATATACTTGAATTAGAAAAGGGAAGGAAGCTTAGTACTAGGAGTTCTTTTGATCTAGCCATGCCCTAAGCTATGATGCAAAGCAAACTTGCCAAGCCAACATATTGTCTGTTTACAACTTCAATTCATCTCTTTTTGGCATGCTGCTGGTTGGAATTGTGCAGACATATATATATATCTATATATATCAGCTTATGAATTATGAAATAAGGACCATAAAGTTTATTGTATAACTTGGTTTTTTCAAACTAAATGACTTATAAGTATTTATTAATAGTTTTCAAATACAAAATGCTTCTGGATACAAAAGAAACTCCCAGAACAATGGAAAGAGCTATTGTTTGATATATCGCTGACTGTAATTTGCCAAGTACCTACTTCCCGACACCATATTTTTAGTGTTAACATTCAACTTTTGGTTGCTGCCAACTGGCAGGGGAATCTTTAGTGATCACAATGATCTTCTTTTAGTCTATTAACAACTAGATGCCTTGAAAAAGACATTGCAAACCTAGTATTGAATAGTACTGTAGAGTTTTTTCATTTGTTGTTTGGTGTACAATAATTTAGTATTTGGTTATGGGAGATTTTTATATTTGTAACTATGACTTTGCATTGTGGCACGCTCCATAGTCATGTACTAGGATTCTATCCAGGACTCTCTACTATGAAGCTTTGAAGGTATACAAGTATGATTTTGAAATTGGAAGAACAAATACTGAACCCATTTTGATTAATTAAAATATCCAAGTTACATTTCTGACAAACAAGTACATATGAACACTAAAAACATATCTTGTTAAATCATTTAGAAGATATTGTGAACATATGCAGGTACCACACAATGCATAAGCCTTTTCACATATTTATGGTTCATAAAACAATACAGACCTCTCAACCTGTAAAGATTTGCAAGTGTAGGAAAAAACTTAAAAGCACTCACTTTGAAGAAAGTTGACCCTTTTTCCAAAAGTAGAAAGTTTAGCTTGCATACTATGATTTTTATATGGTCTTTTTCATTGATCATTGTTTAAAATGTACTTTTTTATTTGAACTTGACTTGAATCATTTTACCTGCCACACAACCCAGCCCAACATCTTTTAATACTGAGCCTAGGATGGCCAACAGGGGGATTATTCTGTACACTGGTGATTTAGGGTTATTTCGATAGTTCTCAATGGAAGAAGCTTTGCACAACTAAATATTAATGAAAATATGACATGATGAAATCTATATGGATCTATGGTGGTACAATACTGATCATTATAACATCCTTCTTGTATTTACACTTCATTGCAGAAATGGCATTTTTAATTTAAGAATTGGTAGGGAAATCATCTTGTAATGCATTTTGCATCTGCTTTAACTTCAACACTGCATCTTTGGGCTTTACTTCACCGTTAGTTTCACAAAATATTGATACTATCATATTTTACTGCATATAAGATGCACCCATATTTTATCAAAGAATATTTAGGAAAAAAAACATTTGAGATATCAAAACATTTAATGTTAACTCCAAATAACATCAAACATAAAACATGAAATCTGCATATCAAGAAAACTTATTTCAATGAAAATATCATGCATGCAACATATTAAATCAAATTTGCATAACAAGAAAAAAATTTCAGTAAAACAGTCAGATAAAGAGCAAAAAACTATTGTTCTGTAAAAAAAAAAAAAACTTTAATTAACTAAATATCTAATATATTCACAAATACTGATGAGGGTAAGCATGTAGGTTTGTCAGCCAGGTGAACTGTAGGTGAGATATACAATATGCAAACTGTGCACTTTAAAGCAAAAAATTTGGTGAGAACAAATATTATTCTATCCTAACAGGTCAAGCACGTTGGTAGCAATAAATTTTCCTGGTGCAGGGAAAAGACAAAAATTTAAGCAGGAAGTTCATTATAAAACTGGAAAGCATAAGTCATGTAACAGCATAGGACTATATAGTGGCATCTGCTAAACACTAGTTTACATTCTAAATTAATTTCTTGCTAAGCAGTGGTTTTTTCTGTCCTTGAATGGTTTTTTTATTTTCAATAGAAAGAGCAGAATTCACCATTACTCTCTCTAGCGTAAGGAGATGTTAGTAATAAATTATTTTTCATGTGGCAAGAAAATTTCAGTTGGCATTCATTGTGGATATCAGTGTCCCCAGCGAGCAAACTGTACTGGCCTGAGGTGGCAGTAAGGAAAAAGGCCAAGGTGCCTTTTGCACATGAGCAGTTTAAGAACTGCTACACATTACAAGTAGGAACTGTAGTAGACAGTAATGTTTATGATAATTCAGAAACACTTACTACTTAGCACTGAAGAACCAGGTGAACTGCTAATCATCTTCAATTATTATTATTATTATTTATTATAAATTCACTCATGTATTTAACAAATTTTTTCATTAATTATAAAGCTAATCATATATTTTTGTATAGATTCATTTTTATGTTTTTGACTACAGTTGTCTGGGGAAAGACTAGGTAGAATTTAGCTTGGGAGGGTAAAACTGAGAGATGCATTTTCTTTAACTTCACATATTAGAAGCAGGTTGATTTTAGAAGCTTTTTTCAGGAAAAAAAAAACTGTCTCATATGCTGTAAAATATGGTAATGAGTTTTTTTATATGATTCTAATCCCTGTTTTGAGGATAATGATACTATTGTGCCTGTTTTTTATGTTTCCCTCTCAATGCAGTAATCAGTTGAGGAATCTCCGATTCTGCTGGTATGTCAAATCACTTGGAATATCTTCAAATAAGTTATTCCCTCATCTGACCTGGAGACCCATGGCTTAGCTTAACTGCTACACTTAAACCATCACATTCACAACCACATCTAGAACATTTCAAGCATGTTTCATTGCTACATTGTTTTACTTTACATTTACAAGTTAACTTCTCCGTGTTGGCTCTCGTGGCTTCGGATCCAGTCAAGGATCTGGTCCATTGACCTAGTGCCAAACATTTTATTTTTGTCTAATCAAAACCATTCCAGAAATGAATCATTTTATTTGATCCACATCAAGATGCCAGGTTGGCTCATGTGGCAGATGTTAAGTGGTATCCAAAACCTGTGGTAGAATGTTCAAGAAATAAATACAACTGTTTTTTTTTTTTTTATCAGCATATGCATTAACAGGTTTCTATTTACCTTAGCTATTTTTGTATTGATACATGTTGCATAAAGAAAATCCCAATCTTGGTTTTCTGATGCTTTGTCAAAAAATTAGTAGCCAAAAGGAATAACAATTTTTGTTTTTCGGTAAACAGAGAATTTACCAAAGGGCCAGAAAGTACGAGATTGAGGCTGTCAGTTCTTCAAGCTTATTTATGTATATATTGTATGCTCAATGCCCATGAGTTGAGAATCCTATGAGTTAGTATTACCTGTATCCTGTATATGCCCTAAAATGAATAAAAGGAAGTTCCAAAACAGTATTTATTTTGGTTTACAAAATAAATAAAACATCTACAAAAAATTTATGAAATTAAAAGACGTGTATCCAATTTAGTGAATAAATCTGAGTATGAGCTTCTTCTGACAACTAAGAAATAAAAATAAAAGATTATATGTGTTTTGAAAACTGAGAATAAATGTTGATATCACATCCATGTACATTTTCTTTTACCGTTGCTTACAAAATTAGCAAAATAATGTATGGAAAAATGTTCACTACAATTTTATTCATTATTTGTGATATAGCAAACATTTATTAAAATAACAATAATACAATGTTACACAGTTTTATTGTTGTATTATCAAGATCATAAGAAGTATTTTTATACAAGGCCTCTTTAACTTGATTTTAATTAGAGAAACATTGTTTTTTAAAAAAATAAAGCAAGTGCAATGTTATAAGTGGTTTTAGCCATGATTAGGTACGATTGAAGTATGATGTTGACTTCACATATAGGATCTCTCATCAGTGGTGTGTAATTTTTTGCATATGGCTAGAATAACAAAGCATTTATCCTAATGATGTGAATGTTTGAACAGCAAAAGGTAGTTCATTGTGCACAAGAATTTTGTGTGTGTAATATGCAGTAAGAAAGATTTTTGAAAGTGTTAATTTCTGGCTGTTCTTTTTCTCATTTCTCACAGAATGTCAAGATTTCTACATTTGGAACATTTTCTACAAAGAAAAAATTTGTAAGTATAATACAGCTGTTAATTCATTTCAGGAATCCTACCATTTCACCCTTTCTCCATGGCATTTTTTTTCTCCACAAATCATGAGGTTTTAGTGTAGCTAATAATCCATATTTCAATAGTATTCAAGTTTTTAATTTTATAAGTCAATATTAAAATTAATTCTAAGTTCCTCTAGTGTGAGATTTGAAAAATCCCCTCTTCTCTAATTTATTTACCACCCATCTAAGAAGTACAAAATTTGATGTAAATTACTCATTATATTGTCATCACTGCTCAAGCAAAGCATAATTTTAATAACCTTCAATCTTATTTGGTTATAGAGCCATCAAATAAAAAATCAGACTCCTCTTGCCATGTCCACTTGTCACATCCTCTCTTTCAGAAATTACCAGTAGTTCTCTCTGATGTTCAATAATATATTATTTATAACCAATAGAAAGCAAAGGTTTTCATCTATCAAATAACATGTTAAATTACATTGTTTTCTTTAAAGAGAATTATCAGTTTTGCTTTCAGTTCAAGCTTTATTCCCACTGGAAACACACTGATTAGCTTAGATGAATTTGTAATAGCTCTTGTCACATAGTTAGAAAGGCAGAAAAATTGTAATAGTTATGGGACATTGTCTGCTTTTTGCATGTTATTTTTTCGTGTTCTTTGGTGCATTGTTTAATTAAATAAAAAATTAAGTGCAGTACTACCATTAGTTTAAAAAAGTAGGGTTAAGTGCCATCGACAGCAAAAATGTTTTTCATATGTATTTTTTATTTGTTATAAAAGTAACTAAAATATAAAAAATGAAAACTTTTTAAGTTAGTTAAGTTTAAATTAAGTAAAATAAATAATAATAATATAATAATTTTTAACAAGGTATGCACATTAAGAGCTTGCAGTAGTTCATATGTATTGTAATTCATGAGTTGTACATTCGCCAAGTGATTTACAACTTATAATGCCACAAATAGTAGTTAGACATGGGTCAAAGGACAATAAAACAATAAAGTTTAAGTATAAATAGATGTGTACTGTTATGAGTTTAAAGTTCTTTATTTACAATTTAGAAAGCAATTTATGTACAATAAGTAAATGTAGTTTCATGTTACAAGTTGAAATCATTCTAGAAAGGAAAAAAAAGGGTGATTTAAATTTATTTCTCTTTTTGGTGGCTAAGAGGTCAGTCAAATTGACCAACTTTGTATAGAGTTATGGTAGAGAAAATAATAGATAAAATATAAAGTTTTACTGAAAAAAAAATGCTTGAAATTTCCTAAGGTTTTAGAGATTATGGAAATGAAATTTGAGATTGTTGAGATGAAGAAAAGTATTTTTTATTTCAATGTGGAAATAACTTTGCACTAGGAATAATAAAAAAAGACTATATATATTCACGGGCAAATCTTTAGTAAAAATACTTTGTTAAAAAATCAGATTTTTTTGTACAAAAGACTTGTAACATTTACTAAAAGTCTGCCAAAATTTGTTAAGATAAACCTACTTTATAAAAAGTTATAGTATGGAAACTATAACAGGTGCAAAGTAGTTACAAGGTCAGTCAATAAATAATCAACTGACTGACTGTATTATCTATCTTCAACTCACTCAATGTCTCGTTTACTGGCACACTGTCTAAATAACTTGGTGACTAACAAAGTAAGTCTGAAGTTCTTATACAACATTATATTCTTCCTCCATTCCAGACTTCACACATATCATCATTTTGTCATTATTAAAAAGCTCCCTCTAGATTTCACAAAATACATTGTGTTGAATACCTAGAGGTTAAACTTAAACAAACTATAAGATGTTCTCTTTGAAACGGTTTTCCACAAAATTATACAAGAAACAAAATATTAGGTTCTTTAAGGAAACATCCATAAGCAAGTTAATACACCTTATTAATTTTAGCTAGGATGTTTAAATTCAGTGTTGGAGTAATTTGGGGTTTAATAAAGCTCATGTCTTTGATTAATATAGTCTGTGTAATTGTTCCTTGTATTGTATGTGTCAAAGGATTTAGCAAGAGCTGAAACTGGCAAAGTTTTTTCTTAATATTAAAATAATCTCAGTATTTTTTTTTTTTTTCATTTAAGGATGCTGATACTCTTGACATGTTTTTCCAAGCTTTTCTTCTTTCAATTCCTAAGTGTCACCTAGTGGTTTACTTTGTGAACTTCTTATACATATGTAAAAAAACATGACCCGTGTATCTTTCATTGTATGTGTCTGTAGATACTGACAACATCTGGTATCTTAGCAACTGGAGCAGCAGGACTTGTATATGCATTAAATGAATCTGTTAAGGCATCAGAGTTAGAATTACACCCTCCAAATTATCCTTGGACTCACAGTGGAGTGTTCAGTTCCCTAGATCATGCCAGGTAAGAGTTCATAAAAGTTTTTATTCACAAAATTTCAAGTACCTAAGTAATGTTGATTTTCTGTTGTTTTTATCTGAACTCTATCTCTACAGGCTTTTTTACGGGTATGGGTCAGAGACATTTCATCACATTTGTAGATGTACATTCAGAATTTTATTATGTATAGCAATAAGTTTGGCATCAAATTGAAGATTATAACTTAAATTTGAGTATTATACATTAGTTAATTTCTTAGTTTAAAAGTAGATATTAATACAAAATTCTTAAATATATAGATTTTTATGTGTCACATGGTATTATTGAATGCAGCTTTGGTTCAAATTAGATTTGTTTAAGTCCAATTACAAAGTCTATATCTTTTACGAAATAGAAACTCAAATTACTACTATTGACAACCTAGAATATAAGATAAGAACCTCCTATCTTTTCTATTTACTGAGATATCACTATATTTAGAAAATCAAACACAGTGGCCCTGTTCATCTCTTCCGTTTTTGGAAATACTTCTTTATGTACACTCACTTCACTCTTATCACGTGTTTATAACCAGTCAAAAGCTCAGAATTTATCCCATGTGGTTTTCTCAACCTTCATAAGATGTCTATCCCCTAGAAATAGTCTTGTTTGTTTTGAAGTTTGAGGGGTAAGATGTAACGGTGATCCGAAAAAATTTTTTTAGACCCAAATACAGCTTTTTTAGTAAGCCTGATAAATTACAGTGGAATTCTGTGGTATTGGTGTAGCTTTTTATAATTTTTTGTTATTTCAAAATACATATATAAAATCTAAAAAAATTATTTTGTTTTAAGTCCTCCACACGCAAAATCGACAAGGTAAGGCAAGCAAGTACAAACTTCATAACAATTGTAAGTAGTAGAGATCATTGTTTTCTATATTTCTTAAGTTACCATTCTATGTTTTAATAAAAATAACTGTAATTTAAGAATTTATTTGTAAATAGTAATATAT